GACAAGAGTGAGTGCCAGTTTTTCTAGTGCTGAATATCTGACCTCTGCCCCCCGGCATGCCCTGCTCACGTAATAAATTGGCTTTTGCACTCCATTATTATCTCTGACGAGCACTGAGCTTACTGCTGATGGGGAAGTAGAAAGGTATAGATGGAGAGCTTCTCTTGGAGGGGAGGTGCTGTCAGGTAGGCTTTGAGCCTTTGAAAGGCCTCCTCTGCCTCAGGTTTCCACTCAAAGGTCTTTCGGAGAGTCTTGAAGAAAGGGAGACATTTGTCTGCAGACTTAAGAATTATTTTTTCAAAACATTGGTCGAAATATATCAAAATATCTTGAAATACTTTCAAAATATTCTGAAATAATTATGCAAATACATTGAAATATAACAAAATATTTTGAAACATTATGGAACATTTCGAAGTATTAAAATTTTAATTTCATCACTAATTTATTTCAATCTCCTTCAAAATAGAAACATGTTCAATGTTTTAATTATTTCGAAATGATATTTTGATCCTTACTCGCGACATCTCTGTTGGAAGCCATGGGGGTTTTCTTCCTCAATGGTGGTGGTCGTAATGGTGGTCCGGTAAGGTGATGCTTGGGCAAGGGATAGAAAATGATGTCGTGGGTTATGCTTTCGAAGTGATGTCGTGGGTTGAAGGGGAAGAAAATGAAACCCTAGTTGCCATGGATGAGGTTTATGAAGCTTGATTTGGTGGGTATGAAAAACCTTGGATTTAAAGCTCGATAAGGATCTCGGTTTCTGGGGTCAAGGAAGCTGATTTTAGGATCAGCTTGAGCTAATTTGGATGTTTGGTTGGTCAAAAGTAAAGTCGAAAAACTCTATTTGAACATTATGGTGGAACCGAGGCTTTTGAGCTCAATTTATTTCAAACTTGAAGAAGAAGAAGACAGAAAAGCTCCTCAACAGAACATGGACCAAATGCTTCAGCCTCTTAGAACGCCACTAATCTCATAAACCTCACCAATGGATTCTCTGCATGTATCAACTTAAACCCCATAGCATCTGAATTGTTTGTTCCCCTCGCTTACACAAGGCACGTTGACTTGAAACGGCCACACCAATATGTTTTAACCTATCATCACTTGAAGCGCGTGCCTAAGCATTTTCCAGGCATGAAATTTCGCTGATGGGGATGCTTCCTTCCTCCATATTGCAGCTGCAACCTCATTAAACTCCCCCTCTCAACCTAATTTTTCCCCAAGCCGAATGAACAGTAAACACACCAGAACTTGACAATAGCCAAGTTTCTACTCCTCGAACAAATGATTTCTACTTCAATCAATAGGGTCTTGCTTCTTAATGCTATTGTAGGAAAGTGTGCTCCTCCTTGATGGGCAAGGCAATTGAAGGTCGTCATGTGTCTTGCCCAACACATCACATAACCTTGCCTAGCGATATGACGTGACTTTCCTTCTCTCAACCTCTATTGGGTGGATGTCGAGGACAAGCCGTCGTGCTGTGGCTCTGGGGCTGGGGTTTTAATTAATTAATTTTAAAAAAAAAAAAGAAGCTTTATTTTTTAAAAAAATATTTAAAAAATGGACATTTTTTTTCTTATTTTTTTCACTCGAGCATAAATGATATTTTCACATTGTTATTGATAATTTGTGAAAAAATTATTTGAAAAAAAAAATTATTATGACTCCTTGAACATATGATATCTGTAACACCCAAAACACACCCTGAACGGCATTACATTCTAAAATCATTCATATCATGAGAGCACTAATATAATCCCTTAAGAAACAAGACTTCATTTGTCATTCATGAATATTTACAACATTATCCAAAAGAATAATCTCAAGTCATGGCTATTACATCTCAAAAATTAATTAAAGAAGCGCAGCGGAATAAACAAAAGAAGCTAGACTACACAATGTTCCAAAAGAATGTCCTAGTCTGGTACAAAAGGAAAGAAAGTCGCTCTATGCGTTCACCTCGGGATCCACACTCCAGTTCAGTGGAGTCTCCAAAGTAGCGAGCTCCTCGACCCTTACGTCCTCCTCCTCAAGCGGGTAATCTGAAAAATGTTAGCGATAGGGGGTCAGCACGAAGCTCTGTAGAAAAATTCTCATAAACCCATACAAAGTTTAGAAAAACATTTAAAACGGTTAGTCTTAATTTTAATATAACATAGATACATAATTTGAAATAAGCAGTGACATTTAAAAGCAGTGACATTTAAAAAGGATCTCAAGTTTATTTAAAAATATTACTTAAATGAATAAACGAGCACCACATACAAATAATAACCATTAATTGTCATAATCAATTTCCAACAATTCTTTCGGTAGGTGGCATACTTTGTGGTAACCTCCATCCCCCTTTAGGTCACCTTTGATTATCAAGCATCCTTACCGGGAATCTCTTGAAAATGGATGCGCATCCTTACATGAAACCTCTCACCAATCACTACATTATTTTTCAAGCATCCTTACCGGGAACCTCTTGGGAAGGGGTGAGCATCCTTACAAGGAATCTCTCATTCATGTGCATCACAAACAACCTAACCAAGCATACAATTTCAACATTTATCTCAATTTACAAGTATCTATCCAAAATTCCCAAAATATATCATATAACAATTCCACAACCAATTAAGAAAATACATGAGATCACAATAACATCATTTTTCTACCCAACACAAAGCACTAAGGTTTCAAAATCCATAATAAAGAAAATATTTATGAAGGAAATACATCACTCTCCAAAAATTAGGGTTTTAAAAGTAGAAAGGAGATTTCATGGGTATTAAACCCTACTTTGTTCAAAACATGTAATCCTTGCAAAAACCTAAGAGATGATGATTTCATAGCATATATATACCATTGATAGCCAAAACATACATATATAAATACCCTAGCCTCAATGTAAGTGAATGAGAGAAAACCCCTACCTTAAATCCTTAGCTTTGGAGCGAAGAACAAGAATATTTGATCTTGAATCATCCTTGAATCTCTTATTTTTCCCTTCCTTTCTTCTTCTCTAATGCTCTCTAGGGTTTCAAGAGGTGTGGAGGTGTGAGGGGAGTGAAGGAAATGAGAGCAAATGAGATGAAAATGAGTTTAAAACATAGCAGCCCCGAAAAACACTGTTCACAGGCTGTTTTGGTTTCTCCAAATTTATGATTTTACCACTAAGAATCTCCAATTTGATCCATATGACTACCTTAAGGTTTGTCGATGTTCCGGATTCATTTTTAATGTTATTTTAACCTAAAAACATTTATTTTTATGATTTATCTCAAAACCCAAGTCAACGTACACCCGAAACACTAAAATTTCTATTTTACCCATCTAAATCGGCTATTAATGAAGTTTTGCAATGTTTGCAAATAAAATGTGATAAAGGGTGTTTCTTAAAGCCTTTTATACTTATTTGAAGCCTAAAAGTACTCATTATTCTTATATTTTGATTTAAGATGCAAATAGAGACATTAAATGCAAAACGAAGCTAATTGGACTATTTCGACATCGTTTCGTTATCTGAGCATAACTCTCTCATCCAAGCTCCGATTGAGATGATTCAAGATGCTATGGAATGATACGAAAGAGATCTAAAACTTTCATGTTTTGAGTTTTAAGAGATATTGACTGCACCAAGATCTAAATTGAGATTGAAGTTATAGCAGTGCACTGTTCACAGTCTGTCTTCGTCCCTTTTCCATTTCCAATTCATTCCTAAGCCAACCAAATCCATCTCAAACCTCTTCAACACATATTTTTACACCAAACCTATTTAATACAAGTTCTAGGACCTAAAATTTCATATTTTCACTTATTAAAACCAAATTTCAACTATTATTTTCACTAACATTTTAAATCTCTACTTTTCCAATCTACCAAATTCAAACACACATCACTACATATATCCACATTTTTTTTACCACAATTATTTACTATATATTTATATACATATATAAAAGAAAATATGGGGTGTTACAATATCTACTCTAGTTACTAGAGTTTTGCCTCCTAATGTTGGATGTCGGGATCATGTTGTATCACGGAGGCAATGCTACTGAGATGAGCAAGCTCGACCTTGACTCTCCCTTGTTGCCCCTCACAAATGCCTAGAAGGAGACGTTAGTTGGTGCTTGGTACTTGGGGACAGTCAACAGCACTTATGGGCTCGAATTGGTGGGTGTACCTAACACTTGACCTGGTGGTGCCTAGCGATACGACATGCCTTGAGTTCTCCCACCCACTCAGGTAGATGTCATAGGGCATGTTGCAGTGCAATGACATTGTAGGTTCTTATGTTGCGCATGCTTGCAATGTGCCCCTCATTGCGTCCAAGGGCTAGGCACTAACTTTCAGTTTAGGAAATGCTATTACAAGGGGGGAGGTACTTGGAGATGATGCCTACGGTGGGCAACAAAGGGACCACGGTGGGGTCTTGCCTAACACATCAGAGGGTCTTACCTAGCAAAATGAGGTGCTTGTTCATTCTCCCACCTACCCTGATGGATGTCGATGACATGTATTGTGGTGGCATTGTTACTAGAGATGGGCAAGCTCGACCTTGGCACCCTTTGTTGCTTCTTGCAAGTTGCAAGTGCCAAAAAGGAGATGTTGGTTGTTGCTTGGCCCTTGGGGGAGCACATTTGGCACGCAAATTAGCAGGGGTACCTAACACTTGGACGGGTGGTGCTTAGTGATATGACATGCCTTGTGTTCTCCCACCCACTTGGGTGGATTTCGTGAGACATGTGACAGTGCAATGGCATTGTTGGGTCTCATACTAGACATGTCTTCCATGCATTGCTAGGCGAAACACAGTGGCATTAGATCTTGAAATGACTTTTGAAAAGTCAAAACACAAGGCACAAACATAAATGAACAAGGAAGCAGAAATAAAGAACGATATCACATTAAAGAGAGTTTAGTTTTTACAAAAACTTAGAAATGTTCACAAGATCATCAAAAGAAAAAAAAACATAAGCTACGTAAGCTTGCTCCATAGCCTTCCCAACCTCCTCCCTAGTTTGCTTAACTTGGTGCTCCATCTGCTCATCAGGATCGTTCTCGACTTCCTTCTCAATGACATCCTTAGCCTCCTCTTCCTCACTATCAGAGAAGGCCAGTGGCTTGAAAGAATCGAAATCTAGGTCAGGATGTTTCTCTTTAGGGTACTTCTATTTTGATTGAGCCTTGAAAGCTCCGTACCTATCCAAGTAACCCTCTAGGACATCCTCCTTGAACTTGTCAAATTCATGAAAATTCTTCACAACCTATTCAATGTTGGAACAAAGACAAAACTCCAAGTCAGAGTACTTCTGAGTGGCTTCCCTCAACTGTTCCTTCAAAAGAGTTGTTTTTCTCCTCAGCTATAGCTTTTTTGGCTTCATTAACAGCTCGGTTCAACATGGTGAGTTCAGGCCACTTCTCCTGGAGCTCATCCTTCAAAGTAAGTTTAGTAATTCCCCTTATGTTCAGTTGGATGGTCAGTCTATTGGAAAACTCACTGACTTCTTTAGCATTAGTTGCCTTGTCATTGTGCTATTTCTCCACCGCCTAAGCCAGCATAACCAAGGAGCACATATGAGTAGCAGTCTGCACAAAAGAAAGAAAACCACTTAGAAAACTTTTTCAAAGCTTCAATAAATGAAAATAATTGAAAAACTAAACAATACCTCTATTATGCCATGGACAATGACTTTGGCCCTATCTCCAATATTGCATTTAGTTGTTTCTTAAAGGTCAAACTTAGAGATCATAGGCAGGATCTACGAGAGGCCAGGGAACGACTCTGTAGTAAAGAATCTAACTCCCAACAAGCTCACTCGAGGTAGTCTTATTTTGCCCTTGAGCATCCGCCTCAAAGCCCAGAAGGGTAACCTCCTCAAGGGTTATCTCAGCCTCCTTAGGTCGGCCTAAAGAAGGGTCTTCCTCGACAACTTCAAAACTGTCAAGATGAACAACCTCGCCAGCTAGTGTTTCCTCGAATAGAGTGGGATGAGAAACCCCAACGTCGTAAACATCACCCTCAAGCTTCTTCAAGCCCTTCGTCAAACGCTTGTACTTCTTGGGAGGCTTAGAAACCCCCTCTTTCTCATTCTCCTTCCCGGCCTCCATGAGTTTCTTTAGAGTGCTCTTGCTTGGGGATACTAGACATGAGCTACAAGGACAATTGTAAATGCTAAACATTAGAAAGAAAAGAAGAAGGGAAAAAACAGAAAGCCTTAATCGCTCACTAGAAGAAGAATTATCAACAGTTGGACCGACCATATACTTGGCGAGCTTCTGTGGATTAAGCGGATCAGACCAGAACTTAGCGTTGTATTCCTCGTCCTTACGAAAGTGTTAGACCTCAAACTTAAGCAGTAGAGGCATAAACGTTGCAAATCAAATGACAATAGGTCAACATTCAGGTCACTTTAACAAAAGCCCCAATGGAAATGGACAAGGAAATGACTCAGTCTTATTTTTGGGGGAGCCTAGAGTCAATGAACCCAGAAACTCCTATCAACCACTCCACCAAACTTCCAAGCGTTCCTAGACATCAAAAAGAAGCCCGTCTTCCACTGTTTATGAGAAGAATGGGTGTTAATGACTAGATCAGACAGATTGACTCTCTTAGCGAAATATAAAAAAATCGTAGAAGGATAGGGCTTTAGATGGAAAAAATGGGCAAACTTGAGAATGGTGGAGGAGACTTAATCCCATTCTCACACAGTGGACAAGCAGCCCCACTAGTAGACCACATCCATTGGGGGACAACAGAGCAGGGCAGAGGTTGAAATAGGGAAGAACAGATCTAGCAAAAAAGTGCATGGGAAACCTAAGGCTGACTTGGAACACGGCCTCAAAAAAATAGACATTCCAAGAATAACAGGTGTGGCAAGATGAAAGAAAAAAGGGTATCCTCATAGACACAAACTCTAAGTAAGGGATATCCTCGTTACAGTTGAACGATCGACGAAGCTAGGAAGGAGATCTAGAGTTCTCCAAAGCCACCAAACGGAGCCAAGATGAAAAGAGAAGAGTAGATGTGCCTAAGAGGAAAGTCGACTGAACTTGAAAATGACGGGGATGATGGACTTCGGTAAAGAGAACTATGATGATGGGAAGCAAAGCACCTCCGATTCACTCCTCTCTCTTTCTCTCTAGCTTGAAGAAGCGAAGGATATGGAGGATGCAACAGAAGGGTTGAGACTTATATTAATGGATAAAAAATTGAACGGATATATTTTTCTTTGTTTGGTATTAGATTAAAAATTGGATGAAAAGAAAAAACATATATATTAAATTTACCATTATATCCTCACATCTAATAGGTGAATTTTTCTATAGTAATTATCATAGAAGGTTTGTAAAATGTTTGAATTGCAAAACACATGAATCACATGTTCAACATACATCCCCTCAAATCAGATTCCAAGTTTGGATCCTATATCAAATGTTTTTTTTTTTTTTATAACCTTGACAGTGTGAGGGAATTTTAAATTGGATTACACCTAGCTAGGGAAATACCCCCTCGATGCAATCTAATTACATGAATAAGATTAAAGAAAATAAACAAAATGCATGCTTTTTTTTTAAGCAAATTTTATTTATAAACTTCAAAATTTACAAGAAGCAAATTTTTACAAGACACAAAAAAGCCAAAAGATGACTTTAATCCTTCAAAACATAACAAAAGAACAGATTTCATCCTTAACAGCATACAACCCTCCATTCCAACATCTTCCTATGTCAGGCAAGCAAAGTTGTAATAGAGTATCCATATATGTAACACAAGGCTGAAAACCAACCAAACACTCCCATCCCATCAACCTTTGTCATCAAAGACCAAACTACTTTTAATCCTTG